CCAAATTAAAATTTTATAAATTTAAGGGGACCTGAGACAAGGTTTACCCATGCACCCAAAATACAGTCAACTCCCCTGCCAAAACAACGTCGTATGGGGGAGGGTATAAAACCCTTAACTGCCCCCAAAAATGAGCCAGCCTCTCATTTTCCCTTTTTGCTTCTCTCTCTAAAAGAGATAAAAATAATTTTCTCTCGCCTTTCTCTTTATTCCTTCACCGGAGGAAGGCTGGCAGCCTCCGACCACCGTCCGTCAGAGTTCTTCGTCGCTGCACACGGTGGCTAGTGTTCGGGAAATTTACCCCAAAATGAAGCTCTTCACACCTTAAAATCAAAACCATGCACCCTAAATCTAAAAATCCTTACATCGCCCTAGATCTACACGAAATCGAAGGTTTTACCTTCGGTTAAACGACAGTCTCCGATGACGTTCGGCTTCTACGGTGGTAAGCTTCACCTTTATGTTGTTGGTGTGTTGTTTTTCTTCTGTTTCAAATATTTGTTTGCTGTTGGTTGCTCTCTGTTGTCTCTTTATTTTTTTTTGTTCTCTTGTAGGTGGGTTCCTTATATAGGAACCCATGGCTCATTCCTTGGACCGGTCGAATGATGGTTTCCCTCTGAGTCACCGATCTATGGCAGTGACTAGAGGCGACTGTGACTCACCAGGGGCAGCCAGTGAGGTGACTGGGTGCATTAAATGCACCCATATATTTTGGATCTAGCCGATGCGACGGCTCACGTGGTGGTGGCTAAGTGGAGCTCATGGACTGGTCGGTGGTCTTCAATGACGGCGGCAGCTCATCCTCGGGCTATGCGGCGGTGAGACATAGCCCTAGGGTTATGATGAAACCCTAGGGTTCTTGATTCTCATTTGGACCGTTGGATCAAGGTAAGATCGAACGACTGAGGGTAACGACTGGCTGAAGCAAAAGAGAAAAAAAAAACCCTAGACGGGTTTAGGCTTTAGAATTGGCCTGGCTAATGGGTTCTGGGTCGGTTGAGTAATTTTTTTTGTAATTAGGCTTGCAATGAAATGTAATTTATTATTTAATAATAATAATAATAATAATAATAATAATAATAATAATAATAATATAATTATCGGGACGAAAACCACTGTCTACACGGTGATTTCAAACCAACCACAAAAGCTAGGATTTCTAGATTTTTAATTTTCAACTTTGCGATTGGAAACAAATTATAAAGTACACTTACTAGTGCATGGACTCCACTCAATTATGTATTTACATTTTATTTTAATAATTTAATATCAATATCCTTAAAAAATAATTTATAATAATTATTTAAAAATAAATATTTATGATTTATGTATTAAAATATTAATAGTGAGTTATATAAAATAAATTTTTATTATAATTATATTTTTATTTATATTTTTGTTATAGTTTAAATTGATATAATTCATATATAATAATATGTTTTTAATTTATTATATTTTAAATTGATATGATTCATATATAAGTGTAAATAAAATTTAAATGCTATATTTTTAATTTACAATATAATATCTATAATTGACATTTTATCTTTTCAAACTTAATTTTTAACAACAACACAAACCATTAAATTTTAAATTGTGCTTTTGTACAACACTTTTAAAAATTTGCTTTTACGACACTTTTAAAAATAGCTTTTCAAAAACTATACCAAATTAGCCCTTAGTATTACAATTGTATTTTTTCCAACAACTAGATTTAAAAGATTTTTATTGAGGCACTGATAATACTCCCCGTTTATAAATTGTTCGTCTAATGTTATCATGCCTCTTTCAACCAAAAAAAAAATGTGTGAACTTAACAATATCCTAATATATTAAGATATGGGTTTGAATTCCACAGTAATTGAATTGTGATTTTCTTCAATGCAATATTATGGGGCACTTCAAATAATCTCTTAAACTATGTGAATCTTAAAGAACTTTTATCACTCTTTAAAAAAAAAAGAAATAATTTTAAAACTAAAATCATATATAGATACTTTAAAATTACAATAACAATTGTTGAATCGGAAAAAATAATTTTAAAACTCAATGTTCAAACTTTAAATTTTTCAACAACATATTTAACTCAATTACGCTCCTGGTTTAAATAACCTACGTCCAAAGATTTCAAAAATAAAGAAATGTGAATGTATGTACATTCAATACAAAAAAATCATTAACAAGAAGTCTAGAATTAAATCAAGATAATAAGAGAAACTGCATGAATTCCACACCCTATATATATATAATAAGATATACACGTAAAAGTTTACAAATACAACTCCCATGGGCCATGGGTGCACCAAAAAAAAAAGTTAAAAGAATACACACTTACAGAACATCAAAAACCTGAACAATTCCAAAATTAAGTTTGTTCAGTTGACTTTCATTGTTTCAGATATCATATTGTAAAATTTTAAAACATTTTCCAAAAACGTTATTCGATAATTTAAAAAATCATATAAAAATAACTTTTATAAAAGTATAATAAATAACGATAAAAGTTCAACTCGTAAATATAAAACTAAAAACGATTACGCCAAAACAAAACAAATCATAAATCTAAACCGCTGTAAACCGAGTATCAGTAACAAAAGCAGTAAACATCATAAAAGGATATATACTTCAAAATAAGGCGCATGTCACCATAATTGGAAAGTAATTCAGAAGATAGAAACATTACAACAAAAAGTTCTTTAAGAATGTGTCGATGTTCCAAGTGCCTGATTGGGGTGTTTATCCACAAGTATCTGAAGGGGAGTAAAACAGTTTGAAAAATGAGCTAGGAGCTCAGTGTGTCCTATTAGTGCAATAAAAACATAGTATGCAAAGCAATCAAATAATAGTCCAGTAAAATATCATGGAAATCCTTATAAAACATAAGTTTTTAAAACTCGTAGTATACCCTCCTCCTGTACGCCATATGCAGTTTCTTAGAATTGCATCCATAGGGCTTACCTTCTACCTATTGGATATAAGGAGCCAACCTAAGCGAACATCTTGGGGCCTGAGAGTTTATTCAAGAAAGTTCTCGGGGCCACGGGGCCTACCCAAGAAAGGTCTCGGGGCCGAACTTCCAGCGAAGGATTATGCCTGTACATGACTTCAAAACTCGTATTAGTAGCCAACTTTGCAACGCTTCGGCAACACAATTCGCAACACGAGGAGCATATTGAAAACGAAGAGAACAATTGCGATGTCTGAGAGCAGAAATATGCGAAATGAGGGAGTTACCCATACGAGTTCCGATCATCATTAATAATACTAACATAGTTCGACTGCCAGTTTCAACAATGACTCGCTCAAAGCCTTCAGTCCGAACACACAAGGCCTCCCCATAGCTCAACATCAAGTGCCGAGCAAGCTCCAATAAATTTAGCAAAACCAATCAATCAATCATCTCTATGGTTACGGATAGCACCATCACACCTAGCATGACTACCCGATAACCTAGCAGCCCCATCAATATTTAGTTTTACCCAACCCTCCTCCGGCGGTAACCAACGACAACCGACCTGCACATCATTCGAATGCATAGGACTCGTCTTATCAGAAAAATCCAAAGCTAATCTAGTAAGGGAGAGGAGCCGAAAGCTACGGTCAATAACCGAGTCAGAATCATCATTGGGGGAGTAAAATACTGTAACAATTGCGTTGGAGCCACACATTCCAAATTAAAGCTCTAAAAGAATCTCTGAATCAGAGCTACTGTCAACAAAGACAGAAAGGTTCGACAAATTCACCTCAGTCCAAGTCTCGATACAAAGAGAATAATACAAAATTTAGAGCGTTAAACAATGTCAAATCAAGATAGTTACAGGGCACAAACGAAGAAAATGATTTATGTCTTCCGTGCAGTTCACAAATTCTCTTAAATTGTGTGAATCATCTAAGGCGTTCTCAACATCATTATAAGAGTTTAAGAATAAAATCTTAACAATATAATTACATCTAAATATATTGAATACACATAGTATGTTACGAGTTCAAATAAATGACCTAATAGTTAACATTTTATAATTTTTTTTCGAAAAAATACAAAGAGATTTTTCAATAAATAAATAGTGATTTCAAAATAATCCAGATATGACTAGTTATGATTTACTTGTTTTTTATAAAAATATTCTTATTAATGATTTTATTTTTATTCGTGATAATTGTTTTAACAATTTATACTTAGGAGAAAGAGAGAGGGAAAGAAGAATTTTATTCGTAATGAATAATAAACTCAAAAGATAAAAAGTATCATCCGAAAACTTTTAATCATTTGTTATAAATATTATTAACTCCACGAGGCATTCTTATTAAGCCACGTCATCCTAATCATAATGATAGTGGTAAACTACAAATATTAAAATACAAAATACTTTAGAATAAAACTTTAGACGTTTGGCGATCATTTAATCCATTTGATAATAGTTTATGTAAAATACAAATAATATCGCCTAAACAATAGTAAAAAGTTTGGCACTTACTAAATACTTGCCTAAATTACGCCGTTTCTCATTAATAATCAAATTGACGGCAACTAACTGCACCATACTTATTTTATAATAAAATAATATTTATTTTATAATTTTAAAAACTTTAATAATAAAAAATATTGTTAAATATAATTTAATGATTATTTATATACTTTTCTTTAAAAATATATCCATCAAACCATTGTTTATCAAGTTGAAGTTTGAGATAAAAATTAATGAAAGCCAAATTTAATTATAAACACTAAACTGATAAAAATATATTAAGTTAAAAAAACCATCAAATCGTGATATTGTAATTTTATTTATTTTTCATTTCGAAAAGAGAAAAGTGTATAATGATAAGTTTTAATAAATTTAATATATGATATTTTAAATATAATTATGACGAAAGAAAACAACAGGAATGCCATCCCTTTAATTAATGTTTCCTTCTGAAGGAAACTATAACTGTCTCATTTACGCGGCTCTAAATTATATTTTCCTTTGCCACGAAGCTAAAAAATTATATATAATATACCCAAAAAAATTCAACTCTCTTAAACTAACAAAAACAAAATTCAGTAAAATATGCAACAAGCAGAGCTTCACGACTTATCAGACGACGCCGATTACGCCGCCTCTCAACAAGTAATCAAACAACTTCACACTCAATTTTATTTATTTTGCCCCTTTTTTTGGGCGCGATTCCATCCCACGATTGTTTGATATCGTTATCTGATTTCTTAATTTTAATTCCACTTTGTTGTTTTAATTTTTTTTTGCTGCACTTTGTTTTTTGTTTGACTGTAGGGATCGACGAGTATGATGAGTTGCGACAGTGGGAAATTGAGCTCATCGAGTGACACGGAGGGAGCTGAAATCGTTTATTTGAAGGATAATGTTGCAGTTCACCCTACTCAGTTTACCTCTGAAAGGATTAGTGGAAGATTAAATTTAATTAAGCAAGGATCTTCTCTTTTCATGGTGATTAGTTTATTCTTGAAGCTTGAGCACTCCTTTGTGCTTAAGTTTATATATATGTAGATAGATAGATAGATAGATACATGGTTTTGGTAATTAGATCATGATATTCGCCTTGCTTAATTTAGACCAATTATTTGCATCATTTCATGTAGACGAATAATTACCTGATGAGTTCATACTGTGCCCCCTATCAGTTCATGGATAGGATAACTGTCAAGGGAGCAAATATGATGGAAATAATTGTTTTTATATATTTTATCTATTGTAGGAGTTATATGTTTGTTTTTTGTATTTGATTGTAGACATGGATTCCATACAAAGGGCTAAGTATGAATGCGAAACTGTTGGAGAAAGGTTTTCAGCTATGGGCTTCTGATTTTCATATCAATTTTATATAGATAATATGTATGTTGGAATTTTTGTTGCATGGTTTTGTGATGCAGATAGAAATCTTTATACAATAAGGGCAGTGCCGTTTGCTGATGTGAGGTCTATTAAAAGACACACTCCGGCTATTGGGTGGCAGTACATTATTGTTGTTCTTTCATCTGGTAAGAAACCATGGATTTTTTTTCTTTTTCTTAAAGAGCTGAAGCTTTGAAAAACTGTGTCATCTAAATTTCTTTAAAATGGTTTATGTTTCAAAATTGCTGCTTTACCACATTGACTGCTAGCTTCTCTCGCTAGACATTTCAAAATTTAGTTGCGCAGATGTGAGTTTCTTTTTATCATAATGGTTGCATGGCTACTCTTACTTTGTAATTGAGAAGACTAGTGAGGTTAGAAACTTTTGAGTTTGATTGTGCCATCTTTTTGTTACTTCCTGCATCTTATTTGTTTATGCATGTGTTCATTGGATGTCCTGAAGAACCACTTGCAAACTGACTAGCCGGAAATGCATCAGATTGCTACTTAATAATCGATTTGTTCTACTTACAAATCTTTGCATTCCGTTTGATGATCAGAAAAGACAATGGAAATGGTTTAATCTTATGGATTTATTCAAAATTTTAATTTAAGATTTTTTTCTTTGCATTTTGTTTCATATCTACCTTGTGGCTATGTTTGTCTCTATATTTATAAATAGAAATGCTTTTCAGGACTTGCATTTCCTCCCCTTTACTTCTATAATGGAGGAGTTCGAGAGTTCCTTACTACAGTAAAACAACATGTTTTTCTTGTGAGGTTGGTTTTTGTTCATTTTTAAGTTTCCTCTTATAGTATCTTGTGCAATCAATAGTTTTGAGTTCGTCTTCAAGAGTTTGACTGTACTTTCTAGTTGCTACAGCATTGTGGCCATGAATAAAATCTTGGGATTCCAATAGTTCTCTTATATAGGTCTTTAGCCCTTGATTTATTACAAAAATGTATTGTTAGATTTCATTGAGGTTCTTTTTTCATCTTATTTTCAGGTCAGTAGATAATGCAAATGTATTTCTTCTGAATGACTTCCAAAATCCTCTTCAGGTGAGTATAATGTTAAACCTGTTTTGTTTGTTTCTATTATTAATTCTTTAGTGGCTATGTTTTCCGTAGCATTTGATCAACATGAGTTATTGGCAATGCTTTGATTGCTAAATATCTTACATTTGTAGAGTTGATTTTTTCTAAAAGCTGGTATTTTTTTGAAATATAAGCTATACTTTAATTGCTAAATATCTTACATTTGTAGAGGTTGAATTTTTTAATAGCTGGTCCAAATCTAATCATGCCAGACTGACATTGTTCTGATATGTTTTTCATTTTCAGTTGAAAAACTAGATTTGTTGAACAAATTGTCCAATTTTATGTTTCTTGGTTTTATTGATTATACGCTGTTAAATAGTTGCTATTTTATTCTGAATCTTCTAATTGCTTGTGACAGCGAACTTTGTCCTCTTTGGAGCTTCCCAGGGTAGTTTCCATTGCAAGTGTGCCATCAACACCTGGTTTAGAGAGGGAGTCTACTTCACATGAAAATCACGAGAGCACAGATACGGCAGTCAGTGATGGAAGTGCCAGTATTCCTCATTATAATGGAAGGCGGAAGCAAAAGTTTCGTGATCCTGCTCGGGACATTTCAATTCAAGTTTTGGAGAAATTTTCTCTTGTAACAAGGCTTGCCCGAGAAACCACTTCGCAGCTATTCCGGGAGACCCACAGCAACGGTTTTGATCCTCTTGAGAGGAGAAAATCTAACCAGTCTCCCCTTAATTATAGTCACGAACCATCTGATGATGCTAGCAAAGTTGCCTTTGAAAACCCTGTTGATCCAGGTCCTCTTGAGGTATCTCTTTGTTCCCTTTGTCAATTATTTGCTGTTAATTTTTTACTAGATGTGTTTCTGTCTATTAAACATTTATAGTGATTTGTGTTTTTGCCTTAGGATTGGAACTCTAGTTACACTTAACTCACATTTAGTGCTTGTACTTTTTCTTGGAAGTTGTAGAAATGCAAGTACACATCTTTCTATAGATTCTGATGATGTTCATGGGCCAACTGGAACCTGACAAGTACACATCTTTCTATAGGATCTGATGATGTTCACGGGCCAACTGGAATCTGGTATAGCCATAACCATTTTTAAGGTGCCATGGCTAGCAGGGAAAAAAGCCCATGTTAATGTTGGATGGAATCCTATTTCAAAATTTTTAATCTTGATGACCAAAATCAACTACTTACCACGATTATGCTATTGATTAGTTTTCTGGATATTGAGAAATTATCTCTTTTCCTGCAATATGAATAAGATGCCTTAAGTGGTCCCATTTGATGATGTAAAACAAATGATGTGATGAGTCTGGTTAATATTTCTTGAGGTGGAAGATAGCAATTGAAAAGTTATCTTGATGGTCTATGTTTCTAATTTCTTTTCACATTATTTGGGGATCTCAAGTATTGTTGTTAGTATAAGCATTGCTACTTGCCTTATTAGCTGGAAGGTTTTGAACTCTATACAAGGCAACCTGATGCCAACCTCTATCCTGTTTAACAGAAAGTCCCATATAGGAAACACGGTCATGATGATGAAGCTGCCACCAATGTGGGGACTTTTGAGCTAATCAGTTATAAGGAGGTATAAAAGGGGCCTTAGTTCTATTGTAGTTTCTGGATTTGTTCTCTTTTCGTTCAACAATTTTACCCAACTGTGATACTGACTTGGATATAGATAGATTGTGACATTTTCTTAGTGTGCATTAATCAATACTTCTTAGTGTTTGATTCACAATGTTCAAATGGTTAAGGGGGAGATTGGTTTGTGCAGCATTAAAAATGATGAATATGTTGCAACCTTGATGCTTTCATAACTAAATTTTTGTAATGGTATATTTGCAAAAACTTTAAAACTGTCTTGGATGATGGATCAACTAACTTTTTGTTCTCAGTTTAGCCTGGAAAAAGTTTTGTTGTGATTTTCCCACTAGTTGAGAAAATCAGTTACCATATGGATCTAGCAGATAGATAAACCTCATGTAGTCTATAAAGTTCATGCTCATTAGTCATTATCTTTGTGATTTGAGTTGTGCTGGTAATAAGCATTTTGCATTGATGTGATGAGACTTTGAGAAGCAGTAGCTACTTTGATTGTATCTATATTTATTGGAGTATTTTTCCTTAACCTATTGTGGACAAACCTGGACATCCTTAGAAGAGATAAAGCTACATTTAGTCCCTGAACTTGACAACTTTTCCCAACGTCTCTGATTTTTTTGTCTGCATTAGTTCCTAGACTTGGTAACTTTTTCCAGGTTCCTTATATTTTTTTCTCCATATTAGGCCCGGAACATGGCATCTTTTCCCAACTTAGTCCTTGAACTTGGATTTTGTTAAGGACTAAAATGTGACAAAATTCAAGTTTAGGGATCAAATTGGGAAAAGTTATCAAGTTCCAGGACTAATGTGGACCAAAGGGACCATGTTGCAAAAATTGCAAAGTTCAGGGATGGATGTGGACCAAAAACAAATTTCAAGGACCAAATTGGGAAAATTTGTCAAGCTTAGGGACTAAATGTTTGTTTTCCCTTCTTAGAAGATTACATAGCTGCAAAGAAAATTTGAAATTGATTTATTACATCTAAGAATTAATTAAGAAGTGCTTGTACTTTTATCAAATTAGACTACTGAAAATAGATTTTATTTTTATGTTGTATTCATTTGTATGCAACCCTTCTGTAAGTAGTAGTAATGGATGGTAAAAAAATGTAATGTATTATATTGCTAGATTACCCTTCTTATGTTAAACATGCACTTATGGTGCATTTAGTTATGGTTTAGGAAAGGACCCAGTATCTAGTGTGCTTGAATATTAAATTCTGTAACTTTTATGTATTGTTTCATATTTGGGAACAGGTCTTGCATCTGTACCTAATATATATTTTCATCTCCATTTTCTGGCAGTTTGAAAAACTCTCACTAGTTTGGGGAAAGCCCCGACAACCACCATTGGGGTTGGAAGAGGTAAGGAACCAAATGCAAACTTTGTTTAATGGTTTTCTATCTAATTTGCTTATATATTTTCCACCCATTTCTGATCACATCATCCTTGTTTCTATGGGTTATGCCTCTACCATTCGTCTCTTATTATATGAAACAAAATACATTAGTATATATATATATATATTTTTAATTTATACATTAAACCTTCCTGAAACCTGATCTTTGAACTTGCTACATGTTTTACATTCTTTATTCCATGGAATACTAATTCTTTATGTGAATGGTATTATATTGCCTTTATGAAATTTAATTATTTTTCAGTGGGCTACATTCTTGGATTCAGAAGGGCGAGTGGAGGATTCAAAAGTTTTAAGAAAAAGAATATTTTACGGAGGAGTTGAGCACAAATTGCGGAAAGAGGTTTGTGTTATAATTCTTGGTGGATAAATTCTTTGATTGAAAACGTATCTTAATAAGAAGGAACTTGGTTGTGAGTTTTAGGTCTGGGCAATATTATTGGGATACTATTCATACGAATCAACGTATGCAGAGAGGAATGATCAGAGATCTGTCAAAAAGACAGAATATGAGACTATAAAAAGCCAGTGGCAGGTTTGTATTCTTTGACATTTTCTTTCACAAACCTGTGTGGTAAGTATGTCTGTATGTGCCCCCAAAATGGAGAGCCAACGAGGAAGTTTTATTTATTAAGATAAGCCCAATTATCTTTTAACTGCTCTTTCTTAGCTTATTGGGAAGTCTAAGAAAACTTATGACATGAAATGAATACATCCTATAAAATCTGCTGCCGACTCTTTTTTTCTTAATCATTTTATCTCGAGTATTGGCATTATTAAAAATGGGGGCTACCCTATGCTTATAAATCAATAACATCTTTTGCTGTGATTCATGCATTGCGAGTCGGATAGATAATTTTTTTAGAGCTCCTGTAACCATCGTTATACTCGTTTCTCTGTTACGAAAAGTACTTGTTTTCATCCCTGCAAAACTTAGTTGTCACTATATAAAGCCTGGTACTTTCTGGTGAATGTTTTTGCAGAGTATCTCTCCTGGACAGGCAAAAAGGTTTACAAAGTTCAGAGAGAGGAAAGGCCTTATAGAGAAAGATGTGGTATGAATGTAACCATCAAATGTTTGAGTTTGTAGTTTCATACATTTATTTTATTCTTGGAAAGTTCACTAGCACCATTCTGAGTTCAGTGTAACCTCTGTGTTTTTGTTCTTTTTAAGGTAAGGACGGACAGGTCACTCTCTTTCTATGATGGGGATGACAATGCAAATGTGCGTCTTTTACGTGATATTCTGTTGACCTACTCTTTCTACAACTTTGATCTTGGTTACTGTCAGGTAATAAGTTCTAAATGCTTTGATTTTTCCATCTTAATTTTACAGCATCATGAAGTACAATTTTTACACTGGTTGTTTTATTTGATTCAATTAACAAACACTTCGAGTGTGCATCTTTGATTTTTTTATGAATACAGTTACAAGTATTTTAAATAGACAAGCATGTTCTTTGCCTAAAAACAATGGGCATGCATGGAAGTATGTTGAAATGTGGAGTTTATCTAACCTAAATGCTGATGTACTTAGTCATCCTGTGGCCATATCTTAAAAAAAATCTCTTGATTTCTTTTTCTTGCTTGCAGGACATATTTTGATTGCAAATATTCTTTGGTGCTTTTCTCCTTTGACATTCTCTCCTTTTCTTAAATTTTTCTGTCAAAGGGATGGGGCTTTTTATATGCCTTAAATGCACATCTGTTTTTCAGATGATTTTAAAAACATAGACAATAATTGCATGTACATTTTAATGGAGATTAGTGGTTCGGCCAAGTGAACACTTGGGGATTATAGCATATTAATGTTCTCAATCATAAATGGGTTTCTCCAAAGTTCATATCTTTTGTACAATGTGTCATCTATGTGGTTTTGTGCTTCATCCCTTTTTCTATCTCCTTACAGGGTATGAACGATTTGCTATCCCCAATTTTGTTTGTAATGGAGGATGAGTCGGAATCATTTTGGTGTTTTGTGGCATTGATGGAACGTCTCAGTCCCAATTTTAACCGTGACCAAAATGGCATGCACTCTCAGCTTTTTGCACTATCTAAGGTCTCTCTCTCTCTCTCAAAAATAGATTGGTTGATTAGGTTATTAGTTAAAATGGCTAAGACAATTTCGTAGATAAAATGTGGAATCATAAAGGTAATCTCACTTTTACAAAGCCTTCCCATCCCCTTCCCTCTTTTTTATTTGGAGTAGGGGTTATTTTTACTCCCTCTCTGCAGTGGAAAAAGGCAACACTGTTTTTGTTCAGAATTTTGGAAGTCAAGTTCTCCTTAAATAGGAATATTTAGATTTTTAAGTGTTTAAAATAAACATCTAAACCATGTAAATGAATAATTCGTGAACAGAGTTTTTGTCTCTGGTTTTGAACTTTTTACCTCTACTTTTTGCAGCTGGTGGAGATGTTAGACAACCCATTGCATAACTATTTCAAGCAGAATGACTGCCTGAATTATTTCTTCTGTTTCCGCTGGATACTGATACAGTTTAAAAGGTCAGACTTTCAAATTTAATAGTTCATTCTTCCCTTCCGTGCCCGACATCTATTTCAGATAGTCCTTGAATTATATGTAATGCACTTATGTTGCCGGATGTATTCTTATTTTAAGTGTAACATGTTGCAATACTTAATGAGAAGTAGAATAGTCAGTGGTATAATTCTTGAAATTTGCTTTGATATGAAAATGGGAGTATAAAGATATAAACTGTGAGGAGGGTAAAAGGAAAGGTAAATGTTAAATGGGTGTCATTTCTTTCCCGAGCTTGCTGATTTTATTGTTCACTCATTTTGGAAGGACTTAGGGAGAGTAGGATGATTTGATGGTAGATATTAACTAAATTTTCACATTGCAGATGAAAGCTACCGTTTTGTGCTATTTTATCCTTATTTTCAACCAAACCATTAATCTCATTTAGCATATAATTTTCTTCATGTGCGAGTACATCCCTCTTCACCTTTAAGAGTCTGACATGCAATTTATTTGCATCGGAACCTGGTTGGTTGGAAAAGAGGCATAGCCCAAATAGTCAGTGTATTTGCATCCCACGATTTTGAGTTCGCGAAATTGTTTTTTCCCTTTACAGTTCATCTTGCCTCTTGGGTTTGCTTATGCATCACTATGTAATGTAAAGATCAATTACTGTGTTTTAATTGGTGATGTGGTTTCTAAATATTTATCAGGGAACTTGAGTACGAGAAAACAATGCGACTGTGGGAAGTATTGTGGACACATTATTTGTCGGAGCACTTCCATCTGTACGTGTGCATAGCTATTTTGAAACGCTATCATGGCAAGATAATCGGGGAGGAAATGGATTTTGACACCCTTTTGAAGTTCATAAATGAACTGAGTGGTCGGATTGACCTTGATGCAACCTTGAGGGATGCAGAGGCTTTATGCATATGTGCCGGCGAGAATGGAGCTGCTTGCATACCTCCAGGAACTCCACCCTCATTGCCTGATGACACTGGTTTACTCTGTTCTCAACATGATGAAGTATTGTAAAATCATACATACATGCATACATATAAGATCTGAATTCACTATTTTTTTTTTGGTATTAAAACAAGCTCCCCACTGCTCTTTTAAGTTGGTCTTTTCCCTTGAAAGGCAGCCTATCAGTTTTTTTTATCCCCCTCCCGCCCCAGCAATGTACACATTATTTTGATTATTTTGTGCATTTGCTGCGTTTTCCCCCATATTTTGGTTTTTTTATTTTAATATTATTCATGTAGCATTTTGAGCTCTACTAAAAGAAATTTGAAGTTGTACGCTGTACCAAGGTTTTGTAGCACCGTTATTCATACCCCGTTAATAGTTGAATTATATATCCTATATTATGGTAGCATTATTTTCAAAGATCACTAATGATTTTGTATTTTGATTCTTCGGTTTGATTTATTCTCATATATGAACACTATGCCAGTTTTTTGTTCAGTAAAATCACTTGAGATTACATCATTTTTTACATGAATATATTTGTATACTAATTTGACACAAAAAAACAAAGCATGATTCACGTACAGGAATAATCCAATGTGGGGGATGTGCTGAAAATAAAGAAGATGAAAGTAAGAGACAACAAATATTGGATCCTGTAACACCCCCAATTTAGGGGTAAATTATAATTTTTTGAAACTCATAGTCATTTTTAGAAAAGTGTAGGAATTTGAGTACCAAACCATAATTTATTCATTTTTAAGTGAAAATTATAAACCTCTCCCCGTGAATTCTGTTCCCAAAATTCCCTCCACCGCCAACTCTCCTTTGAGCTTCGATTTCTCTACCGTTCGGCTATCATTCGTCGATCCGAAACTACCATTGTATTCGTTGTCGATCGGTGAACAAAATCCCTCAAACTTCTTGTCGTAAATCGATGCCGTTCGCCGTAAATTTTAACTCAAAGTTTTGAAGTTTTTAAACTCCACCGCCGTGAAAATTGTCTATTCAACGTCGATCGTTACTCCATTTTCGACACCTTCCGCACCATCGTGTTCCTTGCATCGTTCCGAGTCCACCAATGCCCTTCTTGTCTCCGTCGTCGCCGGCGCGTGAGGGAGGTGAGGAAGTTAAAGTTTCCGATGTTTCGGAATTGAGCTCTCCGCCGTTCAAAATTGTGAATCGAGCTTGGTAAGTGTCTCAAAATGCCTCAAAATAATTTTAGAAATTTTTGTATAATTTTTAGGACGACGTACGATGCCGCGCGTGCCGCCCGTTGACCCGACCCGACTACCCGACCCGACCTGTAATTGGTTGTCCGACCCGACCCGTTGACCGTTGGTCGCGTTGACCATTGACCTACGTTGACCACCGTTAACCAGACCGGACCGTTGGCCACCGTTGATCGGTCGTTGACTGACCGTTGACTTTTTTCGAGTATACCTATCCTGAAGTTTTTCGACGTGGTGAGTCTGTTTTTTAGATCCATTTTGCCAAATTCAAACCTGGTAAACTGTTTTTCACTAATTTATCACCCGATTCGATCCGTTTTTCACAATTAAGCTGCATTTTTTATGAATTTTTGTTGATATGTATCTGAGGAATTATTGGAAGTTGATTTCAAGATCGAGGGCGTTCGAATGGAGTTTAAATGGTCGATCGATATGGCACAAAAATCGAGGTAATACATTACTACCTCTTTATACTTTATGGAACATGTTGATAATGGATAAATGCATAGATGTATATGATTGGACTATTATGCCTGTTTGATTATGGATGGACTCAAACCGAATACAGTTTAAGTGATAAATTAATTAAGACTTTATTGAATTACAAGTTCTGTGATTAGGTGATAAATGAATCAGTCATGAATATGTAAATTATAATTTATCTCATTAAAGGTACTTGGAGGATAAATTATGATAATACTTCGATTAGGTAAAATTACGAAAATACCCTTATGTTGTAAAAAGATAAGAATTGACCCTGAATACAATTTAAGTGATAAATTAATTAAGACTATTGAATTACAAGTTATGTGATTAGGTGATAAAGGAATCAGTCATGAATATGTAAATTATAATTTATCTCATTAAAGGTACTTGGAGGATAAATTATGATAATACTTCGATTAGGTAAAATTACAAAAATACCCTTATGTTGTAAAAAGACAAGAATTGACCCTGAAAGTTGGATAAGATGTCATATTGATTTGATAAAACTATTTTTGTGTATAGAAAATACTAGTTTTGCTTAGAAAATCTGGATAACCAATTTCTAAACCCAAGATGGCTTGTACAAATTACTAGAAGTTTGATAAGGAATAATTTCAAGTTTAGAGATTATCCGGGAAAGCAATTAACCTTAGGATTTCCAAATTATATTTATCCTTGTTAAGAGTTTAACACCGAAATTATCTAGTTATGAAATTACAAAAATACCCTTGAGAGGTATAAATAGTCCGAGTTGACTCTGAATGAGTAAATACCTGAAGAATAATTTATCGATGGTGCTCTTTTATTAGAATTGTTAGAAATGACTGAAATAAATGATAAGTTTGAAATAAATGATAAGACCAGACGGAAGGAAATGATTGAAATACTATAGATATGAAAAATTATGAAAATGCCCCTGGAATGGAAATGAATCAAGAATATCACTAAGACTAGGAATGATTGGATATCCTCAAGCTCTGAAAGGACTGAATTAACATTGAGCACCAAAATACCCTTATGGCCTAGAATAAGTAAATGTCTTGGATTAATTAAGAAATCCAAATAAACATGGATGTTGTACTTCTCTTAAAAGTTATGGAACGCAGTTTAAGTAGGTCAACCAACGCTAGTGCTATATCAGTACCTGAATGGCATAGGTACCATTTGAATGCTTGTTCGTCTCCTCAAGTTTGGATCGATGATAATTATGAAAGTACTCAACTTAGCTCAACTCTAGAGCGCATTCAACACTAGCAAGTGGATATTCGTGAGACAAATAAATCAAGAATATCAAAATGACTTTATTATATGACCAAATTGAACTGAACGGAAATATAATATGTATCCGAAATACATAAACGTCCGAATTACCCTGGAATGCTCTAGAGTAACCAGTATAGACTTGACTACTAAATGAACTAAGTAACCTCAAGGACTGAGGTTTAAGTAAGGATTTATATAAGTCTGGAAACTCTGATGAGTTTACATAGTGTACTATTACTATGAGTTATGAACCATAAATCAAGTACATCAGCATTTCCTGATATTGTTGAAGCGTGGAAATGAAATATAGACCATTAGAATATTTTTTTTGTCTCCTTAAGATCCATTCAACGATAACTCAGAAGATGATTTATGTACAAGAATTGTTGGTATTAAAGAGTGAATACCTGGAAGGGCAACGAATGGATTGGTCAATATGCATTAGTTTTGGGAGTGGTTCTGCTTGAGTTATTTCGATAATTCGATAGATCGACACATACTCTAAATGTAATGAACCTTCATGTCTTTCTTATCAGCTCAAATCACATTCTGAATAACTGATGATTCCGTCAGTTAATGAACTCTTTCAATAGTGATTCTAAATTCCAACATTCTATCGGTATACTAAAGATATGTGTTTCTCTCCCTAATAAGATTATTCAGTATCTCTGAATAATATTTGTAAACACTAGTGTGTTCCATAATCACAAGAATGTTTTATCTGATTTTTGATTTGAATTATGTTCTGATGCCTGACCTGGATTTTGTTATGATTTCTGATCTGGATTCTATTATGATATCTAATCTGAATTCTGTTTTGATTTCTGATATCTCCGTTTACCGACGAAAATATTTTTTATTTGGGGGGTTATTGTTGGAGGAAGTATATATGCAGGCTCCTCGGTTGTGTGCTCAGGGCCTTACTGGTTGTGTGGGTTGGGTGTATAGTTCTAGGGAACCTACACAAACAAATTGTGAAAGGATGTGGGTAGTGCACATGTTTAAAAAAATGTTTTAAAAGATTTGTATTTTTTACTGGTTTTATGGGAATACACTAGATAACCTATTCTGATCTCTTGGACTCAGTCATCCGAAATATTTCTCTGAACTGAAAGCTCATTGTCTGTTACCACCTGAAATATCAGTAGGATCTCCGCTCAACATAAAAATATGTAGATTTCGAAACCAATAAGGAAATATATGTTTATCTGTATATGCACATTCTTCAGCATCATCTGGTAGTTCTGTATTACTGAGCTTTCCAAAGCTCACTCTGTTACTCACCTGTTCAGGTTACAAGAATTATATAGTGCGTCTATCGACATCAGTAAGGGAGTTCTTTCGGCGTTGCTTCTAGAGTATGGTACATGTGATTTGGGGGCATATAATTGTATTTTGTTTTATATACGAGTTTGAAAATCTGTTTTGTTTCTACATACTGATAAATCATTTTATGAGTTACATGTTTTAATAAAAGTTTTAATTTTTTTGAGATTATACAGTGGGTCGCTCCGATGGCCTTGATGTGATACCCCAGATCGGATCGGGTTACCCGCATCGGTCTGAGGGGCTTACATTTAGTGGTATCAGACTATCAGAGCTTAGGTTAAGTTAAAATTTTCAAGATAGACCGGTCGGGCGAATATCAAAAGATGTTTGATCAGTACATGCCCCTAGACTACAATCGTACTTCTCAGAGCAAGAACTCTATGGTCTAGTCCCTCTCTGTAACGAGCTAACCTAAGTTTTCTATCCGTTATAACTCTACCATTGCATAAAGGAATACAATAACGTCTCTATAAATTTTGTAAAGTACCTCACGAGGCATGTGAGAGTTACTCAACTGAGAAATTCTGACCCGACTCCAAAAAATGAAAATGGGATATGCTACCGCTTTATGAGCCTATTTCTGTAACCAAGGCTGAATTGATTCCACAAGGATATTTTCATTCTGATTCTTTTATTGGAATGAAGAAGAGTTCTAATAAGAACGTATACTCAACTGGTTAAGGATTAGTGGAAGAACTGATGGAAGTTTTATTTCTGTAATTCTATGACATGCATGAATTTCGAGGACGAAATTCTTTTCAGGATGGGAGAATTATAAGATCCCAATTTAGGGGTAAATTATAAGTTTTTGAAATTGGTAGTCAGTTTTAGAAAAGTGTAGGAATTCGGGTACCAAACTCAAAATTTATCCATTTTTCTTTAAGTGAGAATTATAAACCCCTCCCCCGTGAATTCTGTTTTTCTCAGATTCTTTTCCCCAAATTCCCTACCCCGCCAACCCTCTTTTGAGCTCTGTTTTCTCTATCGTCCGACCACCGTTCGTCGATCCGAAACCACCATCGTGTTTGTTGTCGATCGGTGAACAAAACCCCTCAAACCTCTCGTTGTAAATCATCGTCGTTTG